AACGGTAACCCGGCTAAGGTCACGCTAATTGTACCTGGGCTCTTCTCTGCAACAGATAGAGCCTCTCTAAATAAATGTCTGTGTAACAATATACATTAAATATCCATATAATGCCTTTCACCGTTCATTCCCACAAGTATCACAGCAGATATGACATCTCACCCAGATTTGGAACTACTGTAACTTGGTAGAAAAGCAAGTACCACTCTCATTTGTATCCTACTTTATGAAGCTATTAAATCCTGATTAGTTGTTGATTTAGCATAGCTGATATTAAATAAAATACTTAATAAAATTCTTTGTTCATGCCCGGCCTGCGGTGGCTCAGCGGTTGAGCGTCGACCTAGGATCCAGGAGATCCCGTTGGACTTCGGGTCAGGGCACATGCCTGGGTGGCGGGCTGGATCCCCTGTGGGGGCGTGCAGGAGGCAGCCAATCAATGAGTACTCTCTCATCATTGATATTTCAACTCTCTCTCCTTTCCTCTCTCTGAAATCAATAAAGATATATTTGAAAAAATATTTGTTCACAAAGGAAAACACTCCTTATTTAAATTTTATAAAAATATATGAAAACACTGAACAAATGTCATTCTTTTTCTTCTGCAATTTATTTTTTAATGCAGTTTTTTATTCATGGGAGAAATTTTTGTTGTATACTTTTATTGCATAGTGCTTGGACAGTAGTAAATGTTTTTTAAGGGCCAGGCACCATGCTAAAGCACTTTATGTGAATTATGTCATTTAATTCTCAAAATAATTCTATTGGTCAATTACTATTGCTGCACATATTTTACAGGTGAGGAGACTGAGGCTTAGAGATGTTAGAAGCCCTACCCTAGGTTACATAGCTGTGGTTTGTCAGAGTATTTAGCCCTTACTCCAGCATCTAAGCCCCTAAGCGCTGCCTCTTTGGATTGCCCATATTAGCACACAAGCAAGTCAGCCTCAGGTAGGGGTCCCGAGTACTTGATTTTCAGGGGAAATAGTATGGAGATGGCCAGTCTTTGACCTGTTGCAAACATCTTGATAGTGGCAGTGCTGCATTTAGCAAGAAGGCTCTGATTCAGGTGACTATTGGCTACAAAGGTGAAGACAGGTCTTCATAATTAGGTATAAACTTATAAATGATGATTTGGGACTTTTCTACCAATCAATAAGAAATATTTTGTTTAAAATGGCCTTCAGTTTTGAATTTCTTACTGCTGATGGCATTCATCTTCTAGAGATTCTGTGGACATCATAAACTCAGGATGCTGACGCAAGACGGAACTTAGCTGCCTTCTTTTTCTTTGAAGTCTGCTTCTCTCCATTTTCTTTTAAAAGGTCCCCTTGCCCTCCTACTCCCTAGGTTTGTGTACCCAGTGTCACCTCTGTCCCTTCCTCTCTCCTTAAATGCCAAATCCTATTGGTTCTTCCGCTCTTGGTGCTCCTCACTGGTTCTCATCTCTCTTCTTCCCTCTATTTCACCTTCACTCCTATATTTAGGGGTTTCGGTAACTCATCCATGTTTATTGAGTCTAACTCCATGTCAGGTGACTCAGCTGATGGCAAGAAAGGAAAGGAGGGCTACATTTGATCTCATATGACCACATGGCACCAAGAAGCAGATTCCGTTTGAAGTGAAGTCCAAAATGCTTTTCTAGTCCAATGTAACAAATGTCTACAATTAAGGAAGCCATGCAGCCTCTGTCTGGATATTTCCTAGCTCAGGTCTGTATTTGAAAATGGAGCCCAGCGATTATATGCAATTATTGACCTTCAGCTGTGCCTCATACGAAGAGCTGGGCCTCTGAGCCTGGTGGGACAACACCAGGTACACAGGCACAGTGGGAGGGGTACTGACAGAGAGCAACTGGGGACCTTGTGGAGTATGGAGGACAGACACCTCACCGAGGCTGTGGGGGTGAGAGGCATGTCCAGGAAAGCTTTCATGAGGACCTCTAAGAGTTTGCTGGGTGATTACCTAAGAACTGTCTGATTTTGTCCTTTCTAGTTTTCCCCCTTCTTTCCATCCTGCCAATGCCTGCCAGATTATATCATGCCTCAAATTCTTTTTATTTTATTATCAGCTTATATTTAATTTATTGACCTGCCATTCAGTTCTCTCCCTGGTCCCACTCCACTCTTCATGTCCAGAGCTCCTCCTATTCAGCACACGCCCGTACATTCTTGGCTCTCGGCCTTGGCTCACTCACTGACTTTGCTGGAAATTCCTTCTCTACTCCAGCCCCAATGTCAGCCAGTTTCACTTGCTCAAATTCAGCCCATTTTTCCAGAACCCAGGTGAAGCGTCACCTCCTCCAAGAAGTCTACCTGACACCTTCTCCCAATCAGAAGTCCCCTCCTCTTTTGTGATCACATGGTGATGGGGTTTTTAAATTGCCCCATCAGTTTGTACCTTGTATTAAAATCATTTGGGTACAAATAGGGCTGGTACACACCAAGAAGGCCACTTCAGTTGTGAAAACACTGTCATGTCTCTATATTGGTGTGTAAATAACTGCAGCTCCAAGGCCTCTGGGTGCCCCACCTTCTCCCACCCCATCTAGCGGGTAATAGTTTGAATATCACCCCTGGGCATATGTCATGGCTTTTATTTATTTATTTATTTATTTTTATTGCTTAAGACTCTGTTCACCTCACAGAATTGCTGTGGGGGTTAAATGAGACGATGTAATTGAGAGTACTTAGTATAGTGCTTGGTATTAAAATAAATGTTTAACTAGCATTAGTGGCCCTTCTTGCCCAAGAGTGAAGATAGTATCTATTCCCATCTGTGTTCCCAGAGATCCAAGCAGAGGGCTTTGCACATAGGAAACAGTTAATCAGTTCTAGTTGAACGGATTTGTTCCAGCTGTCAGGAGAATTTCTGTAAAGTTAAAATTTCTGTGACACTATTGTGTAATACTTTACTATGAAGAGACAAGCTTTAAAACTCTGAGTAATTGTGTTTTTTTAAGTTTGGCAAAAAACATCTATTTAAGAATTTTTAATTTAACAAATAAAGAAAAAATCCCCTCCCTCAAAACCCACTTCTAACTCAGTTCACTTGTGTTATTAAACATTTCCATGTTTGATTTAGCTAATAATATATTAATTCTAATATAATAATAGATTAACTGTACAGATCTTACACTATTAAGACAATTCTTCACAATATACCGTTAAAATGAGATTTGGGGGGAAGAGAGAGAAAAGGTGAGAAAATTGTGTTAGAATTTGTAGTAAAAATTTAGAGACAAAACTTTTTAAGTCCATTATTTGCATTGTTTCCACCACTGTTTGATCAGTCTAAACTCCTGTATGCCCAAATAATTTACAGACTTCCTAGAATATGACGTCAGTAAATGTTCTTGCTTCGTTACTCTATGAAAGAGCATAGTTTTCAATGCAAACTAATACAGTGAGAGAGAACCTTAGTCAGAAGTGATGGTCCATTATTACTATCTAAAGTCCTTTCTCTCATCTTTATTAGGTTTGTCAGAGCACCTTTGGATATTGCTAGACTTATTAGTGACATGTGGGGCCAAGAGAGTCACAAACCTGATTTGGGTTCTGGAAGAAACTGGCTCATTGTACTGAAGCTTCTCTCATTAAGTGGTGTAATTTCTTACTGCAATGGGCCTTTCAAAAACAAACAAACCTGCCCTGGCCAGTATGGCTCAGTTGGTTGGGCATTGTCATATGCACCAAAAGGTAACTGGTTCGATTCCTGGTCAGGTCACATACCTGGGTTGTGGGCTTCATCCCCATAGGGGGCATCCAAGGGGTAGGCAGGGGGCAGACGATCTATGTTTCTCTCTCTAGGTCCCTCTCCCTCTAAAAATCAATACAAATATTTTTAAAAGAAAACAAAAACTATCATGGCCACTTAAGTTAGATATTGTGCAAATGAATTTATATTATCATCCATCCAAAAATAATCTAGATGTATATTTAACACACTTTAAACATATTTTTAGTAATTATCATAGAATATTTTTTAATAAAGAGCCAATCATATCATATATTAGAAGTACAATGTATCAGGCCTGTCATATGTTCTGTTAGTTGTTTTAATTTGCATAGTAATTTTGGAGATCTTGCTTAACTTCTACATTAAAAATTCCTAGAATAGCATTGCTTATCTAGTTTTACCTCAACACCTGGCCTTTGCTTATGAAAGGAATGACATATTCTTTGTAGTTTTCATCATACTCTTCCTCAAAAACTCTTTGGGTGAGGCCTGGGTAGAAATGTTCTGGTTGTCCGTTGTTATGTAACAACTTAATGTATAAAATCATGATATAGTAAATCTTTGTCTAAGAAGTCACCTATTGATTCTACTTATGGAAATGGAGTCTTTTTAGCTTCCTTTGGCATGTCTCCGATTTTTTTCTTTGGCTAGATTATTCTAAAATTGGGCAGCTAAAACATATGAGTAATTTCTAGACCTCTGTCTCCCTAGAGATATAACACTTTCAGGGAATTAGTTTCTTTTTTTTTCTTTAATCATTATTTAGTGATTTCACTGAGTCATGATAACTGATGATTTTGCTGAGTCATCATAAGTGATTTCACTGAGTCTTGGTAATCTCTTTTCAAAGCCTAAACCCCAGTTTGATATTGTTTCCAGACCTAACTAGATTAAGATGATCCAGATTGCTAGTGCCCATAACTTTTTGTGGGAGAAAATACAGATGATACAGAAGACTAATCAAAGGAGAAAAGGCCAATCTTGGTGCTAGTCTAGTAGTAATCAGGCCAGTTGGGTCCCACGAAGACTGATTTGGCTGTGTTTCTGTGCCAGAAGTGGAATATGTTCCTGTAAACATCTTGAGGCATGCTGGCCGGGCTATTTATCATTTTTTCAAGTTTAATATAGAGCGATGGTTTAAGCATGTATAATGGGTTTAAGCACTCCTTTCTAAACTACTGGGTGAAAATAGTTGATATTTTGTCCCATATATTTGTAGGGTGTGGTGTCTAGCCGAAGAACATTTTACTTTAAAAGAAAAGATGCTATCTCCAAATGATAAAAAGTTAGAGAAGCTGGATCCGTTTTATCGACCTTCAGTGGCCAAGCAGAAGACCAGTGCAGAAATCATAAGTGAAGCACGAAATGCATTAAGAACAGTTGGGACCCAAAGACCATTCACACCTCAGGAAAACCAAAGAAAGCTATTTGGACTTGCATCTTCAAGGACACCAGAAAATAGACCCCCTTCCTCCTTCAGGTATATGACATTCTCTTGCCTGTACATGTAAGCCACAAGTTGACATTTTCCCTTTGACTTCTGCTAATTATCTCTTGTATCTGTTCAGGATTCCCAAAGATAATTCCAGGCCTTGGGACCAAGAAGTTGGTTTGCAATGGTTAATAGTGGTTGTCATATCTACTTTATAAAAGCAATATGAATAAATCTTTAAAAATAATTATATATATTTCTTCTTTTCATTATTCAATATTTTTAATTCTCCTAAAGGCAATGAAAAGACTTATTAATAAGATGTTTTAAGTACTATAGTTTTTTTAAATTTCTTCTTCCTCAAGACTCATGCATTGAATGCTTTTGTTTTGGGCTAGAGTTAACTAATATATACTAGAAATAAAATAAATGATTCTTCACGAACTAACATTTCTGTTCCGTCTTGTGCTAGCCTCCATGCATCCAATTTTGAGTCTTCTGATTCCAGGCCCATTTCTGGTGCACGTCTCAGCCCACTAGAGCTTGTGAGTACTTTATAATATCACGAGAGCTGTGAAATGGAATTGGTAAAAAATACTTGGAATCAGCACTTATGTATGCTAGGAAAATGATCACATAGACCTAAATGTACTATAATTTAATATGAAAGCAAATTCTTTCATACTTTTTCAAATATAATGTTTAGTATCTGATAAAACATTTCTATTTACCTACAGTTTAATAATAAAGAATTTTAGAAATACAGAGTAATCTGGCAAACAAAATGTTTCACAGTGTATTTTTTTAATTCAAAAAAGTTATGCATATATGTTTTATTTTTAATAGTTATATACAAGTAAATACATGTACAGAAAGAGTCAAAGCTTTGCTACTAAAACAGCTCCAGCAGGCTCCTGTCCCCGTATTCTTCATTCTCCCCTCCCCAGTGGCTCTCACTTTAAATTCTTCTGGCACATTTTTTTGTGTTTTTTTTTTTCATCCATATTTCTACATAACACAGCCTCTTGCTGCTCCCTGACTTAGGGGCTTGAGGAATTATCTGATGACTTCCCATTAAGGCAGCTGAAGGTTTAACTCTATCTTCCCAGGGCTCCTCACACCACGTTCACCCCTTCTGTCCCCAGTGCTACTCCCAAGGTAGATACGTCATAATTTTGGTTAGGTCCCTTTTCTCTGATCACATAAACCATGTTTGCAGCTGAGCCTTGGACCGGTAACGATTAATGCTGCTACTTCTGCCCTGCACCACTTCTGGTTTTCCCTGGCATTAATCATTGCCTTGCTCTTTTGGTTTTGTATTATTACTATTTCAAACCCAAACTCTTCCCCAGTGCTCTGAATGTCCTTCATATATTCAGGCACATGGGGTATTCCGATGATTCACCTCCTTGGAGAATTTTCCACCCTCTGTCGTGGACCACTTGCCCTGGGCATCTGGCACGCAGCTGGCTTCTCCCTCCTGTGCTGGGGGTCAGTTTCCTGTAGCCAAGGACCTCCTCTTTCTTGGTGGAGCACTCCCTCCAGTAACTTCTTGAGAAAGGTGTAAGGGAAGTAAATTATTTGAGAACTTGAGTGCTTTTTTTTTTCTCTCTCTGGAAGAATGTAGGATTTTTCTTTGTTCCCAGCATTCTGAAATTTTATGGTAATGGGCCTTTGTGTTAGTGCATAATCTCCTGCCCTTCAGCTCTGGGAAATGCCCTTGAATTATTTTTATATGTCTTCCTCTCTTTTTTGTTCTGTTTGATGTTTCTGGAGCTTGTTATTGGGGTGTGGGATCCCCTGGACTGGCAGTTTAATTTTCTTATTTTCTCTATTTTTTTTAGAAGAGATGTTATCTTCCAATCCTTTTATTGAGTTCATTTCTGCTATCATATTTTTAATTTCCAAAAGCTTCCCCCTCCCCTTTAAATTATTTTTTTTATATAGAGCATTCAGTTCTTGTTTCATGGCTGTAGTCTTTTATCTGCATATATTAATGATAGTTTTGATTTTTCAATTGTTTTCTTCTCCCTTTAAAATTTCTGTTGCGTGTGTGTGTGTGTGTGTGTGTGTGTGTGTGTGTGTGTGTGGCTTAAACAACAAATTTATTTTCTCACAGTTCTGAAGACTGGAAGTCTGAGATGAGGTGGCAGCTGGGTTGATCACTTCTAAGGACTTTCTGCTGACTTGTGAATGGCCACCCTTCCCCATGTCTTCACATGGTCTTTTGTCTGTGTCGCTGCATTCTTCTGTTTGTTTGGGTCTCGTTTTTCATATCAGAGGCTCTCTTCGGACAGCTCATGCTGCTCGTTTGGCTGCCCTTATTTGAGAGTGGAAGCATGAACCCATAGGTGACACCTATCCACACCACGTTTAGGGGGTGGGGTCTGGCTGGGTGTGTTGTTCATGAAACTCCCCGAGACAGTGCCTGTAGGGCTTTCCTCCTGGGCTACTTAATTTCCTGTGGAAGTATCTGCTGAGCTCTGGCTGGGGTAAAGGCTGGCTCTAACTTCCAGGGGCCTAGAGGAAGAAGGCAGGAATGCCTGCCGCTCAGCAGTTAAAGGCTCCATTAGTGCCCACACTCACTCAAAGTGCCCCGACCCTCACCGGTGCCTGCTGAGCCCCATTCAGAGCCCCTGTTTTACCTCTTGAGAGAGCAAACCTCCCATTTACTCCTGGGTTCAGTAGCCTGATTATGAAGAGCCGGGAGGGAAAGAGTTACACAGGCTTGCAGCCAGCCCTTCCTATTTTAGGTACCCCTCCCTTATGCCCCTGATCCTACAAGTACCAGTGACACCAATTCCTAGACTTTTATGGAATCGGAGTGTCAATCAAGCTGCTTCTCAGTTTTTGTTACTGTACATATGTGTGCTTGAGTGTGTTTGTTTTTGGTGGACTATGTGTGTGTGTGTTCTGTTGCTTTACAAATTAAATCATAGCAACTTTCTGGGGTGGGATGTCATAGACTCCCTTTTTCAGCCTCCACGTAGACTAGGGGAGACCCCACCTTCCCCTCTGGTGATCCCCAGGACCCATGCCAGAAATCGGTGAGGCCCAGGAGGAGAGTCTCGGCCAGCCAGATCCCTTAAATGTTCTAGGAGTTTCGTCTTCTTTAGGTGGTTCTATGAAAATAGTCTTTCAGTCTTCAATAGGCTCTAGCAGTTTTATCAACCAGAATAAATCTTAAATCCTGACTTTCTGGTGTCGCTGATTATACTCAAGTCCCTGGTTAGTGTCATGACACAAAACATGAGGGAGGGAAGGCGCTCAAGTGAAGATTGAAACTTACTTGAAATATTCTCTGAATCCCAAAATGACACGAATTGTGTAAGAAAATCTTTTTTACTGTTTTGCCTCATAAACACCACTTTGCTCCACAAGATGGAAGGCCGTTTGTAGAACCTGGCATGACAGAAATTGATGGCTTGTTTCGTCGTTTTCCCTCAAAGAATTAAAAATGCTTTCCGTGTATCAGTTTATATTTTAAGTAGTACAGTAAGATATATGTTTAAATGGGATCAGTAGTTCAGTAAAGGTCAGCCGTAAACTGGAACTCATTTTTCATTACGCAAACAGTGGCTAAGTTTGCAGGAGAAAAGGAATAGCTTCTATCAGGGAGCAGCTAGGAGCCTTCCTCTTGCCACCCAGAGGTAACTCAGCAACTCTCTTTTGGGTAAAAATTAGTTTTGCAAAACTGTATTTTCCTTTTTTAATAAGATCTTTTATTTAGTACCCAAATAATTTATACCAGTGAAGACCTTTGTGAAGGGAAACATTTGCCTCATGTTTACTATTATTTGGCAGACTTCTCCATCGTTGTTTCACATTCAAGGTGCCCGCAGAGTGCGCACATCTTGAGATAAGAAAACTTCATATCTACATTCAATATTGAGATTATCCTAATGTATCCAGTCTTCCAGAATTTCACCCAGACCACTTCTTTTACTGTTTTATACTCTTAGCTTTTTTTGTTGCTATTAGCTTTATGGCCCCAGTCACATTCTAATGAATATTTTGCAACACATTAGAGAGAATAAAAAGTAAAGTGATTATTTATGAGACAAACATAGCAGAATTTATACAGACAAATGAATATTGTCTCCTTCAGAACAGACGTGAATTCTCTGAATTCAGGATCTTTTTCCCGGCAAGGTTGTGTCACAGGCTAAGGCCTTGGCTTTGAGGCTTAAAAGTAACTTGGAACCTAATTCGGTAAATAAAAAGTGAGTCACTCACATAGGGAAGGGAGCTAGCATTTCTTGAGCCTCCATAACAGGAATTGTATAGAGGAATTATATGTCAGTGTCCCTGCAAGAAGGGGACTGCTGCCTCCGTCTGATAGCTGGGCAAGTTCAGAGAAGTAAGTGACCCACCCAAGCTCACATAACTAGTAAGTGGATTCCACTCCAGATCAGGTTGATTCCAAAGTCATTTACTCTTCTTCTATATTATGCTAATTATTTTATTGACCATTTTCCCGTGTTTAGAAGAATGTGTCTCTAAAGTCATAACTAATTTTTTATGTGACTCATGAACCGATTTCAGATGCAATTGAACAAGAGGGTATAAAAAATACTTTGAGTATACCTGAAACTAATATAAAATAATATTGAATGTGAACTGTAATTGAACAGGAAAACAAAAACATAATTTGAAAAGTGTGATCATTATTGAAATAAGCAACTTCCTGCAAGGAGAACTTTAATATAGATGCCAGTGTTGTCTTAATGTATATGAGAAAATGTGTGTTTAAAATTCTGTCATATATGGTAGATGACTTCACCCATTTTTCCAAATGATCTGACTTGAATCTCACACTGGATTTTTTAAAAATTTGTTGATTAACCTGTCGGATTGAGAGTCATGCCTTTTACATGTTATATAAGTGACTTGAGGAACTTGTTCTTTCACAAATAATCATGCTAACGTTGGAGGGAGGAAGGATCAACCCCCAGGCAACGCTTAAGGTGGGAGGTAAAGGCATCCTTGAGGTTCTGGCCCTGGGTCAGAGGCCACTGCCACCTGGAGGTTAGACCAGAGGGTGCTCTGGGTGGCACAGTGCTTGGTGCAGGTATTTTTAAAAGTCTTTAAGGAATTGGAATTTTGCCAGTAATGTTTCTTTTCTAAGGATATCAGCACAGAATTCTGGCGATATGGAAAATAAAACACATTTTTATCATAAGTCCAAGATGACTTCTTGCTCTTATATTTTGTGACTTTAAATTATTTTTAAAAAATTTTATATCATTAAAAAGTAATTCGTGTAGTCCAAAATGTATAATGGTAATATTTATATTCCACACAGCTCTTGACAGACATAGGTGCCTAATAAGTGTTTTCTGAGCTACACTGAACACAAAAATTTGCAAAGCATGTTGAATATACTCTACCAAGTTTTTTAGTCACTTACACAGATATCCATTTGCTAGCATAGGTAAACTGTTTTTGTTTTGTTTTTTTAATATGCTAGGAAGGACAGTAGAGTATTTAATACAATGTATTTGACAAAAACAATGAAAGTGCTTTATCTATATAGTATATTAAGTAAGATGGGCCAATGAGACGTAGAGTTCAGGGGCTGGATGAAGCCAGACGGAAAGCCCTGTCTGTGCTCCTCTGGAGTGTCAGGCCAGCCCCAGGGTGCTAGTCCTATCTGAGATACAGAAACTCATGCCATCGTTTAATAAATCTCTTTCCAGAAACCGAAGGCTCCGGCATCTCCCACCACAGAGGAAGGTCCCTGCCTTGCCTTTCCTAAGCCCCCCGCGGACCCCGCAAAGATCAGAAGAAGAAGCAGTGCCCGGGCTCGCTTGTTCAGGGCGGCCTCCCAGGGCACCCTCCTGCCTGACAGGACCCTTCCTCCCGCTGAGCGTAAGGCCAAGTAGCAGTTTTTAAAACTCGGGGGCAGCCACGTCTCTGAATTTGCACACAAAAGCTATTTTTATATAATTTTTTCAAACCCCGCATGATTTTTACATTAACTAAGACTTAGTTGATATTGTGCAAAAGGCTGGGTAAGAAATATTGTTCATATATTTTTCTGGGTGTTTAAAAAGAATACCTAAATATCATAGTTTTCAAAAAATGTTACTTGGTAGAAAAATAATATTAGGATAAGTATTTTCTAATGAATGGGTTTATCAATATCAGATAAATGGTTTTCATATAAGAGTTTAAGATGTTAATTTCATTATGAAATGTGAATGGTGAGAAGAAGGCAGCCGTGTAGAAACCTGTGAGCAAGTGCCGCACCGAAGGGGCGGCAAGGCCGAGGTGGGAGCGGGCTCCGGGGTGGAGGACCTGAAGGCCAGTGTGGCTGGAAGGGGGCTCACCCAGGGAAGGTGGAGGGAGCTGAGGCTAAGGGCCACGCAGGGCCAGGCTGGGGAAATGGGCCGGCCTTTCTTCTGCTTGCAGCGCAGGGCAGGGTTTGAGCAGGGGAGAAACAACCTCCAGCTTCTGTTTCTCAGCCATAGCTGCACAGTACAACCACCTGAGCAGCTCTCGAATGCTCCGCACCGGGGCCCTGTCAGACCAGTTCATCAGAAAGGATTGGTCCCTGCAGGAGCGAAGTCCTCCACAAGGTGGGGGGATCTGGGGCCAAGGTTGGGGCTGAGGTGAGGCTTAGGTAGGGACAGGATCACTTCTTATACACAGGGCGGCAGGGCTGGCGGGGGAGTTACTAAACGGCCGCTCATCAGACGGTTTTGCTTCTGAACCTGAACGCCGCATCCATGCTCAATGCATTTAACTCTTGGTAGCCCACGCTGCAAACCCTGCTGCTCGCTGAGCCATTCATGTCTCTGTGAAGGTGACTGAAGAGGTGGATGTGTCACCCACCAGCCTCGTCTTCTGTGCTTCCCACATGGCTTAGCGCCTCCCCTCCTGGGCTGCCTGGCCCTTGGCCACAGCACCCAGTTGTGCTCTGGGAGGTGCCAGGGCGGTGTCATTTCCCAGCAGTGAGGCCATCTTCACGCCTCCAAGTGGCACAGTAGTGGCACCAAAGCATGTCTTTGTTGAGATTCTTTCATCTACCGTGCTTGTAGTTACCCTACTTTACCAATTCCACCATCCCTGAGGTCTGTGTCAGCACTCAGAGAGCAATGACAGTAAAAAGTCGTTGTCATTTTAAAAGCGCATGTTACCCAATTAAAACATTTATTTTAGCGCTCTAGCCTTGCAATCATTGTCATTTGCACAGGAGCTCCCTGGGCTTGTCTCAGAGTCCCTGTTGTTTAGAGAAGGTATTCTTTATTGGGTAATCGTAAAGGCAACCATGTGCGTGGGGACGGAGTTGTGTTCCTCCCTTTGGTGTGAGGTCACTTGCAGCTGACACTGCAGGGCTAGGGGTGTGGTGACAGGCTTGGAATTTCTGATTTAAGCAAATGAAAAGGGAAAAGGTGTGTGTAGTCATCGTCATAGGACCAGCAGTTTAATTGCTCCATGTTCTAGCTAGGGTTTTTGGCTGGAGGGGGCAGTGTTGCTAACATCTCCCCTGTTACGCAGTCTCCACACTCTCACCCATCCCTGTCATCTGTGCCGTCACCAAACTTTCCGCAGGCTTCCTAGATGGGCTTTCTAAGTACTTCTTGGGTTCGCATTCCCCTTTCCCACCTCTGCCTCATTGCCTCTATCACCTTCCAGCCCGCCCGTCGTGCTCCACTCTCACCCTCTGCGGGGGCTGCAAGTAGGTCAACACAAGGACGCTCAGCCCCCGGAGCAGCCAGCAGAGCCTGGGGAAGCCAAGCTCCCAGCCACACATGGCTGTGAGCAGTGGCCTTGTCCCTTTATCGTAATGGACCATGAGAAATCATTTTCTGTGTGTGTCATAGGGGACAAGAGGTCACGAAGCAAACAAAAATGAGATTACATCATCATCTTGCTAAAAACCCTTCAGAGGGACCCCTGTGCCTAAAGGAGTGTTTGCCAAACTGAGTTCCAGGGAACTTTCAGCAAAATATTAATAGCTTTTCCTTGGATAAAGGGCTCAGTGCTGAAATAAGTCTGCCTACTTTCCCTCCCTCTTGGAGAGCTGCGATACACATGAGCATATCTAAAGGGTTGGTAAAGCCATCTGGGAAAGAAACCTGTTTGATTTTAACTCAGCCCAGCAATTCACAAATCTACTTGGCGGTGGAATCTGTTTTTTGGGGAACACAGTTTGGAAACACTGACCTAGCACAGAAGTTGGCAAACTTTTTCTGTAAAGGGCCAGAGAGTAAATATTTTAGACCTCGTAGGCCATACAGTCTCTGTGCTACCTACTCAGCTCTGCCATTATAGCAGGAAAGCAACCACAGGCTGATTCATGGCCACTAAAATTTGAATTTCCTATAACTATCATGTTACAAAATATGTTTTTTCTTTTGATTTTTACCCTCAACCATTTAAAAATATAAAAACCATTCTTGGTTTGCAGGCTATACTAAAATGGGAGGCAGGTCAGAGTTGGTAGTAGCTTGCTGACTCCTGGCCCAGGGGTGAAGTCTCTACTCCTTGCAACATGACAGCTGTGATCTGGCCCCAACCTAACTCTCCCTCGCCCGCCCTACCCCACGGCCTGTGCACCAGCAACATGGAACTCGTTGCATTTCCCCACGCCTACCCACCCACCCTGCTGTTTCAAGCCTCATGCAGGACCTGCTGTATAATTTGTTGGACCTAGTGCAAAATGAGAATGCGGAGCTCTTTGTTCAAACATTATTCAGAATTTCAAGATGGCAACAGCAAAGCATGAAAGCAGTGTGGGGCCCTTCTCAGCAGGGCCCTGCTCGACCGTCCGGCTTGTAGACACATGAGGCTGGCTGGGACTCAAGGCTTTTTCCCCTTCTTCTCAGAACTCTTTCCTGCCCCCTGTTAACTCTTCAAAATACTTTGCAGGTTCCACCTCCTCTGTGACTCCCTGACCAAATCCCAACCCCTCAGGACTCCCTGTTCACTCTGTCATCCTTACCTGTTCGGACCACTGCACTGCTCTGTACCGCATTTCTCTCTTTACCCACGTCTGCTTCTCTCTCCCCTACTGGATGAGAGACTTCAGTAGGTAAAGAGGTTTTCTCTATTTGTAGCCCGAGAGCCTAAAACAAGGCCTAGTATATAGTAGGTGCTAAAGAAATATCTGTGAAGTGGAGCTGTTGCTGCATGGTAATGCTACTGGTTGTAGAGTCCTTTTGAAGATTACCCCTGATCCATTCCAAAGTCAGTACAAAATCAGTACAGTGTGCTGCAGAGGTTCACTAGGGAGACACAGAGCATTGTTGCTTGTGCTCAGTTTAATGGTGGCACCCCATCAGGAGTAGGAGCGAGCCCCAGGGCCAGTCTTTACTGCAGTAGTGACTGCTGAGCTCACCCTAGTAGATTGTGAAGATAAAGGGGCTGCAGCTCCTTCACCTGTGAGTGTGGGTGTGTTTCCCCGTCTAGAACAGTGGCCCCATGAGGGCGGGGACTTCTCATCCATCGCTGGACCACCAGCCCCTGGAGCAGCACCTGGCCCACAGCAGTGGGTGCTGAATAAATATTCAGGGAGTGAATGAGTGAAAGAAACAAGTGCTAAAATATAGGCACAGGCTAAAGATGCTTTATAACCTACAACAAAATATGTGCTTTGTAATTCAGTAGTAAAAATATTTACGGCAGCATGGTGCTGGGGAGAGAGCCCTGGACCAGCAGTCAGGATTCTTGAGTTCCATTAATGACAGTAACTTCTAGGTTTTGAGTGTGCTAGCACCGTGTAAGTCCATATCATTTAGTTCTTACCACATCCCCAAGAGGTGGGGACTATTGAGGAAGGTGAGAGAAAAGTTGAGTGGCCTGCCCAGGTCACACAGCCTGTACTTGATCCCAAGTCTGCTGAAACACAAAGCATGTTCTTCCCACTGCCCAGTCTTGCTCTCCTCAGACTTCCTTTGTGACCTCAACCTAGTCACCTAACCTTCTGGGTTCTCAATTTTCTCATCTGAAAAATGAAGGTTAGACTAGCCAGCCTCTCGGGTTTCTTTCAGCTTTAAAATTCAGTGTTTTGGAAGCAAGGAGTTTGGTCGGAGGAGTAGACTTGGTTTTGTTGGTGGTTTTTATTGGTTTGTTGGTTCAAGTGCAGTAAAGGAAACCTTGAGTCATTTTGGAAAAGCTTTCAAAATAGTATTTTTCTATATGAAGCTTGTCCCTCCTTCCCCTTTGAAAAAATATTATATCACAGAGTAGAGTAGAGTAGCAGCATCACGGATAAGCTATTCCCGATGTGAATTGCTGATAAAGGAGCAGTGTTGTATTAGGAGCCTAAGGTTTTGCAGCCATAAACAAGGTGGATGTGTCAGTTCAGAGATGGGGCATCTTTTTGCAACTCTGTGTTACTCCCCTTCAGAAAGCCTTATACAGTAGGGTTTCGGTGACTCCTCCGCTCATCACCTAGCAATGGTCTGCTAGCCTCAGCGACCCAGCCCCTGCCCCTCTGATCACCTCTACTCCCCTTGTCCCCGTCACACACTCCACTCCTGCTGTTCCTGGAGCGCGTCAGGCACACTCCTGCCTTCGGGCCTCTGTATCTGTCCCCTGGAAGTACTGTCCTTCGGGGTCTGATGGCCAGGGTCCCTCAACTATGTCCACCCTGTTCAAAATTGCTCTCTGCCCCCATTCCCAGTCCGTTTCACCCTTCTCTACTCTTCTACTTTTGCTTTTTTCCACAGCACTTCCTATCTTGTTTACCTTCTTTATTATGGGGCATTACTTATTGTCCATTTATGCCTACTCGGATGTAAGCCCTATGAGGTCAGGGGTCTTTGTTTTATCACTCATGCGTCCTAAGTGCCTATGACAGTGCCTGACTCTAGGGAGGTGCTCAATAAATAGTTTTTAAATCGACAATTACTAACATGATCAAATTTAGGAATAGGAGTTATCATTACAGGCCGCAGAGTACATATGTGGACTTAGGTAGCTCATGAACCTACATTTAAGTGTGTGCTGCAGGTAGACTCCCAGCTAATAGAAATAAGACCCTATTCAGTTTTCCCTGCGGAAGTGATGACGCCATGCCTAAAATAGTGATGAGGTCTTGTGTGTTCAGAGAGGCTTTCTCCATATAGTTCCAGGCTTGATTATAAGTAATATATAATTTTTAAATTGAGTACATTCTTAGGTTGAAAAAATATTGAAAGATGGTGAGTCCTAAAATAAGAAATGCTTTGACAAGACATTTCCTTCATTATTACAGGAAAGAAAACAGTGGAATCCAAAGACACAGTTAGGATGGGGGACTCCATGGTGAAAGCCAATGGGATTTATTTAACAGAATCGAAGGCCGTTGGCCACTTAAAGAGTCATCCACTTCAGCTGACTTACGATGGAGGCTTCAGTGGAATCAAGGAGCAAGAACTGTTCAAAGGGGCAACATCCTTGCCATCCCATCTCAGGAGTGGAGGGTCAGTATTCTTTTCACTTGATTTTCTGGCGAGGGTAACAGTGTCATTTACCGGTTTGCTTTTTATCTTATGTAGATGGTTGGTTTGCATTTTGTCTTTTACATAAATCAAATTTTAAGTTAATGATACATGAGTAGGAAAGACTTCTTCTCACAGCTGAATGGAGCTGATTTTACATCATTCCCCATTGAATCCTTAGGAAAACATTTGCTCACACTGGCCTAAATGCTGCTTTGATAGCACTGTCAGAATGAAGTCTTCGCTTTAGGCCAACCATTCCAGCCTGCCCTTGAGTGAGTGACGACTGATCATTCTGTTTGTGTTATTTGGTATTCTTGCCTGGCCTGGAATCTCTTGTAACCTCCCTTTGGGTTAGTTCACTTTTGTTAACTCTACAAAAGAGTAAACACTTAATTTATTTTATTCTCCAGTAGAAACCTGGATTAAAATATTTATTTTTCAAACTAATAGTTAAAGCAGGAGAGTCCTGTGGATTTCTATCTATGACATCCCTCTACTAATCCCTCATAAAGTAAATGATTGGTAATTACTTTATTTCAAACATGTTCCTAGATAGGGCTTTTTTTTTCACCCTAATTCTCACCAACATCTTCACTCTCCCCTCCTCCCTCCCCCTGCCCTGCACCTATCTGGGAGTCCCTAAGTTCATATTGTGTTCCTAGATAGGGCTTTCCAACGCTTTACCCAGAAAATTGAGGAGCAGGCTTCCTACCATATTCAGGATCTGTGAAGAAATGCTTACCGTATGGATCACATGCATTCCTACCCTGGTGTTTTCCTAAGGTGGCCTTGACTAACTGGGAGCCAGGGTGGGAGCAGGCTCTGTTTTCCAGCCCCAGCCAGGAATGATGCTAAGATAAGCAGAAAGTCTTGGGCTGGACAGGGTCACTCAAAGATGTTTTTCTATGACTTTCCATTGGGTCATTATGGACAACTGCCCAGTTCAAATTTGCCTAACGAGATTAAATTCCACGGGCCATTTCAAGACCAAGCGCTTGTTACCCTCGCTTTAGATTTCAGGCCTGACTTTGGTTTGTACACGTATGTTACGCGCTTAAACTTTTCCCCGAACTGGCTGCTTGGCAGCCGGTTAGTTCAGCCGCTGGCCTTGTCTACTGACACAGCCCGGAGAGTGTCGCACACACGGGATTTATGTTAGGTAACCTAGTAGTCCTAGTAATGTCGCTTTGCATTCAGAACATTTTTTAAATTAAAAGAAAAATGAAACTTGTCCTTAAGTGGAATAGAACAAACTTCAAATTGGGACTTTGGGAGTTGAGCGCAAAACATCAAACTGGCCATTGCAACACATTTTTTCCAGTTGTAAGAACAGGCTGCAGGCCTCAGAGCTAAGACACAAAAGGCCACGGAGAGCTTGTGCTCCTTTCAGCACCAGAGTGAGGAGGAAGCAGCTACCCTGCTGCAGCCGGCCTTACGGTAATCAGAGTTGACTGGGGAAAACCAGACCAGCGCTCTTTTATTTCATTTTATTTTATTTTTTGCAAACCTTCAGATGTTGCAGAGTAATCTGGCAAGCCAGAGTTCATTATGTCTCCCTCAGTCTGGGATGGCAAAGGCATATTCGATGACATATTTTATTCCACCAACAGCAAAGAAGAAATCAATTAGGGACTGGATACGCTTCTTCCCGACTGTCCAAAATTATGAGGCGTTGGCACTAATTGTTCATTGCTTTCTTTTTGTTTTGTTAGCATGGCTTTGGCATCATGTCATGACTGGGATTGAGTTGGGTTTGTAGGACACCCTGGCAGGTTTAACTCCCAATAACATTTTTGCTTTATGAATCTTTAGCTCCTTTAATCATTGGGTGGGATTTTGTTGAGATGCCAAAGAATTTTTTATACAGTAGGATTAAAACAAACCAGCAAATGGAAACTATTAGCAGTTCTTTCATTAATTACATTTGTGAATCAATCTGGGACACTCGATAATCATTTCTTGTAAACATTTAAGTGAATAATTCCAAGAAATGATCTTTGCTATGCAGTGGAGTATTCCCAGTTTTGATGCTAAAGCCTTACCCTCAATTAACTTTTTTTTCATCTTTAGCCCATAAACTGTAAAATGAAAAGTCTTGTCAGTGAGCTGGGCTGGCAGAAGACAGGAGGGGGGGATGCAGAACTAGAGCAGGAAGCGGGATGAGATGACAGCGGGCTCAGAGGAGCAGGAGCAGACGGAGCAGGTGGTGTAAAGGGGCAGAGGAGAGGGCACGCTCCTGCGGGGCCCTCACACGCGGGTGCCCGTGGGAGCAGCTACCTTCACGCTGGGTGCTCGGGCGGGGGGAGGAAGGAGCAGTTTATTTCAGTGAAACTGCATTGATTTGTGCACCCTCAGTTTAGACAAAGATAACTCAGACATGGGACGGATGGGAGTTTAACTTTAGGCTGGTTGCGATGGAAAAAGATTTGCTAAGCAAGGTGTCATCGCAGACAAGATCTTGGGGAGCCATTCAACTTCCCAAAAGGGGACATACTCTCAAGCACTTCACTAATTATCATCTTAAAGCAGCGTGCCAGTTACAGCAGTCTCTGTCCATTTAAGGATTCACTGAGAGTTTGGCAGGCGTGCTCCTTAGCAACACTCCATTTTCTCTAACTTTGTGTTGCTCTATGGGTTGAAAACAGCTTTCATTAAAATATGTATACGGGGTGGGCTAAAGTAGTTTATAGCTGTTTATATGGAAAAAGACATGCGGATTATGGTTATTGCAATAGCTTAACTCTGTGTTTCATGTACTCACAACTGTAAACCTACTTTTGCCCACCCCTGTATGTGTATAAATATCTGTCCGTCTGTCAGGCCATCCATCCATCCATCCATCCATCCATCCATCCATCCATCCATCCATCCACCATCCATCCATCCAGTGGTTCAATCTGATGAAATCCTTTATATGTCTGCTTAAAAACCTTTTAAGGCTTTCTGTGTAAATATTGTTCAAACTACTGTGGTTTGGAAATTAATTTTTAAGAGGAAAGACCAAGAGCAACCAATTGTAGAGAGTCAAGAACTCTTCACTGGGAGCCAGAATCCCTGGGTTTGGTTATTTTCTCAGCCCCTTGAGTTAATTGTATGCTGTTTAGCGAGTCTCTCAACACTTTCAGGGGCTCAGTTTTTAATCTATAAAATGGAAATAACTGTGCTCCTTCACTCCCATCTCCTCCCAGCCTCACCGTGGGTTGTGGAATGAATAACAGGCTTATATTTAAACTACCAAGTGCTGTTAGATTGTTGGAGTCAAAAATAAGAAAAGAGGGCTTCTGGTTAAGGATGGCAAAGTGGAGGCATTCTTCAGAAACCAAAGCAACAAAGAATAAAAACCAGAGAAGTAAATGTTATCAATGAAACAAACCAAAAAAATGATTCCAACCCCAAACTACAAAACATGAAGCAGACTTCACGTGGCGTTATGGGTTTCATCTCCTCCCCTTTGGAAAGTGAGCTGTCTTGCATTGTGTATGAACTCCTGCTAAGTCCATGTTTGGGGAGGGCTGTCCCTGTCTTCCCTACCCCTCTTCCTAGAGGCAGTTAAGTGGCCCAGAGCTGGCTAATCAGAATTCTCCCGCCCACCAGCCACAGTGGTTGGTTCAGAGGTGGGCACATGATCCCAGCCAGGCCAATGGAAGTCTTCCCTGGTACTTTTGCCAAAGCCTTTGGGGAAAATGCCCTTTTCTCCAAGTTCATAAGCTATAAAGATGATGTTGTCTTAGAGCCAACAGTGGCCATTCCATTGCCTTGTGGAGGGTGACTCTGGGAGGGAAGTGATGTATAAACAAGCAAAATGGAGATAGTGACCAAGTCCAAGGATGCTATATAAACCCCTAGATCCACCTGTGCCTGAAGCCACCACATCCACACTGTAGGCTGCTCTGTTTTGATCCAATCTGTTTCTTTTCCTTCCTCTCTTCTCTTCCTTCCTTTCTTTCCCCCCTTTTCCCCTCCCCTGCTCCCTCCCTCTCCTCTCCTCTCCTCTCCTCTCCTCTCCTCTCCTCTCCCCTCCTCTCCTCTCCTCCTGTCTCTTATACACATCTAGATGTGTATAAGAGACAGNTTCTTTTCCTTCCTCTCTTCTCTTCCTTCCTTTCTTTCCCCCCTTTTCCCCTCCCCTGCTCCCTCCCTCTCCCCTCCTCTCCTCTCCTCTCCTCTCCTCTCCTCTCCTCTCTCTCCTTTCCTTCTTCTTTCCTTTATTTATTTGGACAGGGACAGTTTGTGATACTTTAGATTTTTGTCACTTGGAATATTTCAACCAAAAGAGTCTAGTTAACCTGCCAGACTCTGAAATATAGATGAAAATGAGGTAATTTGAGAGCAGACACCTCCTCAGACCTTGAGCAGGAAACAGGTTTCACTAAAACTGAGTCATTTGAGAAAGGAGTATCCAGTAGTCCTCAATTTGAAAAAGGAGATCTGAGGATGTGGGCAGGTGGCTGGAGAAGCGAGGAAGCCACTGTAAAGGCCCCATTCAAGATCCAGACCATGACACAACTGGGGAGGTGAAGCTGAGGGTTACATGCTCTCATTTCCTGTGAGGCAGCTAGTCGTGTGTGTGTGTGTGTGTGTGTGTGTGTGTGTGTGTGTGTGTGT